GACGAAATAGCTTTCCAGTTTTTTTTTTCAGGTTTTCCATGGTGGTCTAACTTTAATTCATTCATGAATTCAACTATTAAATGATTAATGTTTTACAGAAATTGATTAATATCAGATAGGTTTTGTGGATAATATAGTAATTTCAATGGTTAAGATCATGAGTCAGTTGAAGCTGGATCACCATGGAAAACCTGAAAACACCGGATGGCAGTTTCGTCTTATTGTGTGACTCCTCAGCAGTGCGCATCCAGTAGACCGCTGAGCCGGCATCCAACGGTGTTACCCATCATTTATTTAGTAGTGATTTCAGTAATAATTGTAAACACGTATATATATAATCAATTAGTTTTGTCAACATATTTAATCCTTTTATTTGTGTTACCAAAGAACCAAATGAGTTTTCTACTTTCAACAGTTAATTATCTCATCATTATACTTAACCATCATACTCTAATAATCGATAAATAAGAACAATTAATTTTGATTTCAATAGCTGAGAAAATGAGTCCATTGAAGCTAGACTATCATGGAAAGCCTGGAAGTACTGAATGGTCATTTCATCCTATTGTAGAACTTCTCCTTGACAGTGTACATCCACGATTCAAACTCAGGATCTATCGATCTCGCATGCGAACGCTTAACCTTAATTTTGACGAAACGATTTACATCATATATTGACAATATTCAGAAAATAATTCCTTTTACTAATATATATCTATCATTTCTTATTCTTTATAGTTCAGTGATTGAAATGAAAAAGAGAAAATAATTTAGATCCAAACCGATCAGACTTAAGATAAACAATCTTGAGTTTCAGTGTGAGATCCATTCATTTATATGGGGAATTATTATGTTGATGTAAAAGCTTTAAATCCCCATTCTAATTTCTTTCACTCATTTATTACCTTCTTTAAACTTCAGTAAGTTGGTAGATTTCCTCCAAATCACTTAATGTTCATCTACAAGTAATAATCTTGCCGAAATGATCGATTTCTGATACGGTTAATCTAACCAAAATATTCTTCACTTAGTATCGTTTGGCTTGTATCTTCCCATTGAGGTTTAAGACTGAAATTGATCAGTCTGTTATTGGCATATGTGCATACTGTGAGTATGCCTCGATATTGCCTTAATTCACAAGCTTTTTTATAAGCAATCAGGGATAGTGGATAACGCGATGGCGTTTGAAGAGGATGGTACGGAGTTCAAGTCCCAGAGTGAACATCAACTCTCTGAGATGCAGGAACATCCAGTTGATCAGTCCCAAATAGAGCGAAACGCGCGTCCTGGATTCCACTGCTAGCCACTATCCATCATTGCTTAAAAATAACTACTAAGTACTATTTAAGTAGTCTCACTTTTTTATACTAAAATGTTACAGTTGACTATTATAAGATCGATTATGATCATTTCCTCTTAATTGTTAAGAAGATTTCTGCATGATACTATAATTTCATTCGAATCTATAAACCAAGTCTTGATCTTTATTCAAGAAACCGATATTCCAATTCTGTATTCAATATATCAATTCCCACCTTTGAATGTTTTTACTTTGTCTAAATGAATGGGGAAGTTAATTTACTTGCCTTAGACGAATATTATCTACACAGGATTCCCTCTCTCAGTGTCTATTATTCTACAGGACCTCATTACAATTCAGTTCAAGAACAAGTAATTAGCCTGACTAAAGTGTAAATACATTTCCACACCAAATACCGACATCAATCTGACACAAACCAATAATAGTATGGATAGGAGAATATATAACTCATCTAACTTCTATCAGACTATCTACTAATCCGACTAAGCATACAACCAATCATAAAAACTGAACTTAAGATCTACGATTGAATAAATTTCTGATATTCATATATATAATTTGAACAAAGCTGACAACATTCAGTATTAGCTCCTGTCTGAATTATAGTTTAATAAATACTTGGTAGAGATGTAATTCATTACTAAATGATTGAGTGTGAATTTGCATGCCAGTGTAGTGTCCATTGGTATACTCATACCAGACAGCTTATTTTAGCTTCTGAACAAGCTGATCTATTCATTCTTCTTGAGTCACGTTTTGACCTTATTGATTATTCACTTATCAACCCTGACTATTTTTGTGTGAGTGTATGTGTGTGTGTGTACACTTATTATCTTATTCATCACAGGTATATAGTTCATTTTTGTGTGACTATATATATCGATTAACACTTGACTGAATTGAGTTGGCTCATACACCTTCTCCACATCTCACCATCACCTTCGATAACTAAAATGATCATTTCTTGAAGAAATTTGTCAGAAACTATTTTTGTTATGTTTTACTCGCAGTTAACACTAATTGATAAATAAGTAGTTTGGTTTCTCTTGTAAAAATATTACCAGAAGCGGTTTTTTTGTGGAGATTCTAGAAATTACACTGATTGAAATCATGATTCAGTTGAACCTAGACCATCATGGAAAACCTGAAAGCACTGAACGGCCGTTTCGTCTTATTGTGGGAATCCTCAGAAGTGCGCGTTCTACGGTCCCGCACCCCGCGAGATTCGAATCCAGGACTTATTAGTCTCGCATCAGGCGCTTAACCAACTAGACCACTGAGCCAATAGTCATCCAACGGTGTTATTGTCTAACTTAAATTGATCCACGAAGTCGCGCCACTATCTACTCTTGTCTTCAGTGAGTTACTACCTAACAACACACCCGGTTGAACACCACTAATCGCCGCTTCTTACTAGAACTCCTGGAAATACCACTATGAGATCATTACTAGTGAGTATATGATGCTTATAATCAGAGAGGAGTTTTGTTAATATTATTGACTCAACTACTACATTACTATATTATCCACAAAACCTACCTTTGATTAATGTTTTATTATACCGCCTCATCTTCATTCACCTTATTTGTGATATTTCTCTTCTAGCTCTTAAACGTAAAATGATGCAAAGTAAATCATAGAAAATTTGTATTACATGTTAATCATACTGCTTAATGCAGTGAAATAAATTTGGAAAGAAAAGAAAGACGGGGACATGAAGAATTCAGAAGATTGGAATTCGGGATAACATAAAGAATGGATGCGCCTGCGCCATTGCAAGTGATTTTCAGTCATGTCATTCAGGGTCTCTAACCATTGGTTGATATCATCTCGCGGTCCCGAACCAGGTAGTCTACACCTACCAACATGGCTCAGTCCACTTATCAGTGATTTCATGGACTTGTGACATGTTTTGGTTTGGCCGCCCCCCCCCTTTCTTCCAACCTACTCCTATACTATTTAACATCGCACATCAAAGCAGTAGGTGGTTGGGCATACGTAACACGTGTTCCAGTCATCTCAACTGATGAAGATTCACCACTTCATCAATTGATTTGCTATCCTTACCTAGTAGCCGTTTCCTAACAGGCGCGTTGCTTACTCGATGGTCCCAGGATATACGAGCAATATTTCGAAGACGCCTACGATCAAATACTAGTAATCTACAAATATCCTCTACTCTTACCGGACATGTTTCTCTGCCATAAAGTAGGACGGAATGAACTGCTGCACAGTAAACACGTCCTTTGGTTGATAGACGAATACCTCGCCTACGCCATAAATGACGCAAGTTGGCAAAAGCTAGTCGAGCCTTCTGTATCCATGCTGAGATTTCGTCACACACCAGACCACAACGGCTGATGAGACTTCCAAGATAAGTGAAGTGATCGACACACTCAATTACTTCACTTCCTATCATTAGTTCGGGTGTCAACGCAGCCCAATCATGAAGCAACATTTTGCATTTCGAGGGGAGAATCGCATCTCGAACATGCTTGGATTGTTGCTTAGAGTAGTCAGAACACTCTGTATTTTGTCAGCGTCTTCACCAAATAAAACTATGTCATCGGCATATTCTAAGTCAAAAAGTGAATCTCCCGGTAGAAGTTCAAATTTTAGTAACTATCTAATTTAAAATCAGTCTACCAATTAAAATACAAACAAAAAACAACATACTACTATGGAAAACTTAGAAGCACTAGATGTCTGTTTCATCTTAGTATGAAACTCCTCAACAATGCACATTCACAATCCCCCACCACAAGATTCAATCTCTCAATTATTAGATTACTACAATCTTTCTATGAACTAATCTTTTCTTCCTGTACTATGTTCTTATATGCAGTCTTTCTTTTATATATTACTACCATTGAATTAACTACTTCCATGACTCCAATTGTTAAGTTTGTCTTACACTGTTCCTACTCGCTCCCTTTCCACTTCTTCGTATATTGTTTTATACTACTTATTTACATTCAGTAAGCAGTTGTATTCCCAACAATATTTACACTTATGTTGTAACGCAAGTTGTAGTGCAGCATTCTGAAATGTTCACATATACTTATAACGTTTATTGTATTTATCATTATAATCACTGTACCTTAATCGCTGTAGCGGTTATCCACAGTTTTGTGCATTTGTTTAAACGCAACAGTTTCCATATTGTTTTGCTCTCAGTTCGGGTTTCCGTTGTTCGAAAACTGCTATCAAATTTAGACACAGCTATCAGCTGTCTTTTGTTTTTATCGTATGTTATACTTATTCTTTATGTTACTGTTACATGAAGCCTTTTTACTTCATACTTGAAGGATGCGTTTAAAGGCCTCGGACACTTCACAAGTTGAGATTTGTAACTAAATTATGTGTATTATTCAATAAACAACCGCTATTGTAGACAAATCGTTGTTTTAGAAACTTCGGTTTTGTACTTATCTCAATCGGGTGACTTGGACGCTTCATTAGATCTAACATCAATGTTCATCTTGTTGTGCTAATAAGGTATGGCAACTTAGACCGATACACATATATGCCTGGTCCTACATTGTAGCTGACTGACTAACTGACCATAAAACCCCTACCTAAATATAATACTAAATTAGCTTAAAAGTAGTATATATTGAAGTTAAGATTAAATTCATGCAATATAATGAAAAATCATTCAAATAACACAAATAGAAATGAATTTATTAACAAATGCAATCAATTTCATGAATATGATGTAATTCATTTCACAGATAAGTAAATTTTTTGTTTTAAAATTTAATGATCAATTTCATTCTTTCCATTCGTATAGTTTATCATTGAAGAACAAGAGTTTCTAATTGTACTATTAGATCTATATTGTAATGAATGATCCATTGTATCATTCATTATGATCGATAGATGATTATAATTAGGATAAGAATTAGTTAATTCCAAATGAACAATTTGTCCAGTTTTAGCCTGTTTGTTTGTTTTTAATGTGAAAGAAGAAAAAAGAAAAAAACAAGGAGTCAAATCAGAGATCAATATTAGTAAAGAAAAAGGTATGTATGTGAGGAGGAGGTCGTGGTTGTGGATGCGAACTGCTGAGGAGTCTCACGATAGGACGAAATGGCCTCTAGGTTTTTCATGGTGAAATAGCTACAATTGACTCATAATCTCAACCATTGGAATTGCTATAATCTCTACAAAACCCATCTGGTATTAATATTTAGTAGTTGGCTATTAGTCTAAACCGTGTTAGTGGATGTAAACTGTGAGACTATCATTTATGGATAAACTTAGAGTGATACCTTAGTAACCTCGAGAATGTTCACTTACTTACTGGTGCTAACTGAGGGTTATAGACAAATGGATCAATGAATTTCGCGCCAAAATCTAACATGTTATTTTAAAATCTGATTGGTTTCCTTTATAAATTATAGTCTCGCCGATAGTTTTCATAATCCACTGAATAAATACTAATGCCAATACTACTAATAATGATATTAGTAGTAATGATGGTGAGACCATAATTTATGAACCATTCTCGAGCGACGATAGACTGACTTTGAGATTGTCTACCTGATAACTAAGGTCAAATGAGGATTACAAATTAGTGTGAGGAACTCGAATTATGAATTACATTTGATGATTAAGGTTAAGAATTAGATTTGAGTGGTTTTCATCACGATCTAACATCAGATATAATACCAAGATACTATTTAGCCAAATGGGTGAGTGGATTTCGCGCCAAAATCCGAGACCTGTTATCTTATACATGATTAGTTCGTTCACAAATTATAGTCTCGCCATGCAAAATACTTGATTGGGGTTTATTATTTTCATTATTTATTTTAACACATAGATATTGGTACAAGGAGGCACCAAATACATATGTGCCACACAGATCTTATTTGATGTATGTGAGGGCTGTGATACTGCCTGGGTGCCCAAACTGAAGCAGGTGGTTTTCTTAGAGGGCTACACCCAAAACCTTCGACCTGAAGGTCTGATCCACAAGACAGTGGAGCAACGTAAGGAGATGCAGTCCCATGGTGGCTGGTTACCAACGATTGGTTCATATGTCATTTGTCCCCTCAGGATACTGGAACCCATGGGCACCATTAGTTTGGAATCAGAGTTTTCTAACTTTTCTAGGTGAATCCTCCATATCTACTTACCCGGTTAAATCGCCGAATATTCGCTTTTCGTCCTCTCAATTTCTTAAACAACACCTCCACCACGAGAAGGCAGTGAGTAGGAATTCCCTGGCACAGGCTGTATACGCGTGGCCATGTGAGAGCATTTCGTGAGGGAGAGCTAACTCTCCCCACTCTCGACCGTACCAGGGCATTTGGGGGCCATGTTATAAACGCAATCAGTGGTTGAAAACATTGTTTAAGAAGATTTACAATAGAACAGATGAATTCACTATTTATCTTCCATTCTATCTTGAATTCTAGTACCGCTTCTATACATAACTTTCCACTGTATTTTTTTAAAAATCATAGTCCCAAGATTTATTCTTCCTTTTTATCATTGCTACTGTCAGCTACTTATATTTACATAAGTAGTATATAATGCTGGTCAAAAATAGAATGTGTTTCCATAGAAGATCGAGAAGGAAAGAATAAGAACGGAAAACAATTGATATGAAAATGCATCAACAATGAAATCTGAGACGATGGACTGATATTTACAAAGAAACAGTCAAGTTTGAGACGATGGATTGATATTTTGCAAATTAACTATTTACAATATGGTTCTCAGATTTTAGTGAGATATTCTGTAATTTCGTGTTCAAATACACTCGATTGTCCCCAGTTGTATTCTTATCTCACTACACTATTACATCATTTCGATCTCTTTTGTTATTTTCATTTTATCATATCAACGTAACATGACAATTTAGGCTAATGTGAATAATTTGTGTTGGGTTCCATGTTGGCGATGTCTGTCTGCTTGTCTGTGTTTAAACTAGTGATCTGTTCAAACTCCTTGAATATTGTCGTTTTTTTCGGAACAGGCTTTTATTACCACAGATTTTTGTGTTAAGCCTTATTTCCATTCATTAATTACATATTTCGAGAGAACATTATCATGATTGTCTATAAAATGTTTACAATCTATCATGAATCCGATGATTGAGAATCTCAACAAGTACCACAAGTGTAGTTCATTATAATCTATCCACCCATTCTGAGATAAAAAGAGAGATGAAAGGTGCATCTTCATAATGATCTGATGTGAAAATTAATTTGTGATAGCGTGCACCAATCGAATCACACTTGATGGAGAAGATTTGGAAGATGTAAAAACCTTTACATATCTGGACAGCATCATTGATGAACATAGCGGATTTGATACAGATGTGAAGGCATGGATCACCAAAGCGATAGCAGCATCTCTACGACTGAAGAAGATCTGGGATTTAAAAAATTAATCAACCAACACAAACACAAAATTTTCAATATAAATATCAAGACAGTTCTACTGTATGGGATGTTGTTAAACAGAATGAAGGATTCCGTAGACACCGAAATTTGAAACCGATAGGCTGAATTCCGTAGGGATCAATCGTGTACGGACCAAATCGCAACTCTACGGATCATTGTGGAACAATCAGTTGAATGGAATTCATTACTCATCATTAGCTTCGTTGACCACGAGAAAGAATTTAATTGCGTGGACAGGACAATACTATGGAAGCTTCTTCGACACTACGGCGTGCTTCAGAAGACCGTCAATATCATACAGAATTCCTATGATGGATTAAACAGCAAAATCGTGCATGGCGGACGGCTGACAGCCTCGTTCGAGGTAAAGACCGGTCTCAGGTAATATTGTTTACTATCACCCTTTTTCTTTCTCCTGGTGATCGACTGAATCATGAAGACGTTAACATCCGGTGGGAAGCATGGGATACAATCAGAATCTAGGATTCAGCTGGACGATTTAGACCTCACAGATTACCTGCCTCTTCTACTGCACAAGCAACAACAAATGCAGAAGAAGACGACCAATGTAGTAGCAGCCTCGAGAGCATTAGATTTCAACAAATATAAGAGGGAAATAAAGATTCTCCAATACAACACAACATGCACCAATCAAATCGCACTTGATGGAGAGGATCTGGATGATGTAAATTCTTTTTTTATCTCGGCAGCATCATTGATGAGCATGGTGGATCTGATGCAGAGGGGAAGGCGCAAATCGGCAAAGTAAGAGCAGCATATCTACAACTGAAGATCACCTAGATCTCAAAACAACTCTCAACCAACACAAACTCAAAATTTTCAATACAAATGTCAAAATAGTTCTACTGTGTAGGACAGAAACTTGGAGAACTACGAAAGCCATCATCCAGAAGAAACAGGTGTTTATTAACAGTTGTCTATGCAAAATAATTCGGATCCGTCGGACAGACACTATCAGCAACGTCGTACTGTAGGAGAGAAGAAATTAGGTTGTGGCGGAGTAGGAAATCAGGAAGAAGCTCTGAAAGTGGATATAACACACATTGAAGAAAGCACCCAGCTTCGTCACACAGCAAGCACTCACAAGGAATCCTAAAGGTCAAAGAACACATTACATCGAGAAATAAAGACGGACATGTGAAGAATGAAAAGAGAATGGACAGAAGTAGAAAGGAATGCTCAGGACAGAGTGGTTTGAACAATGTTGGTCAGCAGTCTATGCTCCATTGGGGGTAACAAGCGTAAGTAATTAAGTAGGTAAATATTTCAAGTAATTGATATGATTATTATCCTTGATATCATTATTATTATACTAATATGTTATATTAGTCAGTTAAGGTCGGCAAATGGTTGAATGAACCTTTAAGTAATTTATTATTCTTTCTGAACAACTTCCAGTGTGAAATGATGGTCAAAATGTTAAGCTCATACGGACGCTTAATTATTATTGTATTCTCTGAATTATACTGCTCAATTGTAAATTCTGAACAACTTCACTAGTGTTCAACATCATATAATTATTCTTCAAGTATAAGGATATTTGTAGAGATTGTATAGTTGAGGGTCGCGAATGCATGCTACTGAACAGTTCCATAGTAGAATGAAACGGTCATTCAGTGCTTCAAAGTTTTTAATGATGCTGTAATGATGATCAATTCATGATTTAGACCATAAATATTCCATAATTATCAAAACCCCAGTGATAAACATGGTTATCAGAGTGAAGTTGATTGTGTCTATCCTCCTAATAGTCACTTCAATATCATAATAAGAGATAGAAAGTAATACAAAGATTGATTTTCATCATTGAAATGTTAACTTTTCTTCTTACCTTCTTGTAATCAATCATCATTTCTTTGAATGCTAAAAAATCAGTGAATGTATACAACATTTCAAATACTTCACCATCTAATGAACTATAGTTGGAACTGTGTGAATAGAGAAGAAAGCACATACACAAACACACATACATACAAATAAGTAATGATCATAAAAATGGCTTGTATAGAAGACAAAAAGAAACGAGATCATGAATATGAGATTGATCATTGAGAAGTTTTCGTTCGATTTAACGATTCATCATCATGATTATATGATCTTACAATGAACTATGAAAGTAGTGTAATCATATTGTAAATGTATCGTAATTAAACAGTTGTGTCAGAGTATTTTGAATGACATGTGCTCAATCTCATGGACGTTAAGAGTAGAGGATATTTGTAGGTTGCTAGTATTCGATCGTAGATGTCTACGAAGTATTGCTCGTATATCCTAGGATTACCGAGTAAGTAATTCAGTTATTAGGAAATGGGTACTAAGTAAGGATGGCAAATCAATTAATGAAGTAGTGAAACTTCATCAGTTGAGATGTCTAGAACATGTGTTACATATGCCCAACCATCGACTGCCCCGATGAGCAATTTTTTGTGGTGTAGGAGAAGGTTGGAAGAAAGCCAGGGGAGGCCAAACCAAAACATGGCACAAATCCATAAAGTCACTGATAAGTGGACTGAGCCATGTTGGTAAGTGCAAACTACATGATTGGGATCCACAATACGATGGCAACCGCTGGTCAGAGACGTTGAATGACACGACTCAAAATCGTTTGCAATGGCGCGAGTGCATCCATTGTTTGTGTTCTCCCTAATTCTAACTTCCTGAGTTCTTCGTATTTTTTTCTCTCTTTCCAAATTTATTTCACTGGATAATACTCCTTGAATAACATCTTTAAACACTTTTCGATTACGGTTTGTACTTTTACCACCTTTACCACTACGGGATTTGAATCGACAATTGTATCACTGTGCTAATGTGGTATGACAACTCAAACCGATGTACGTACGTATGAAGTTCTACGTTGTTGCTGACCTACTGACTGACTGACTGACTGACCGACTCAATCTCATTTTGTTTCAAAATAGTTGATAAAAGTTTCAGTAACAATCAAACAGTAGTATGAAGTAACAAATTAGTCAATCATGAATAATTCAAACATGAGTATTATGCATTAAAGCAAACTTAATTTATTCTATCATGCTGTTCACCTTTATCCTATAAGCTTGTTCAAGTCAATGTCTGTGTATCTATTTAGAAAGATGATGCAAAATGTTTAACAGATAATAGTTATCCTATTGAAATTTAGTTTTGACAAAAGATATATCAGTGTAAAGTTGATTGAGAACTTAAAAGTTCTAGGCTCGATCTCAAGCCTCTAAACACTATGGGATGATAAATTATAGAGTTCAAACTATTCAACTTACAACCTGTAGGTTGAAGGATCAAACCCTGGTTTATCTATGTCATTTTGAGAAATTGAGAAGTATAGTTAGTACTCAAACAAAACAAGTAATATAGTTCAAACTTCAGTATATGGATCGGTACAAGGATATACAAAGATCACCAATTACAAACAAATCCATATATCAGAAAGGATTTTGTGGATAATATAATAACTTTAATAATTGAGATCATAAGTCAATTGAAGCTAGACCACCATGGAAAACGTAGAAGCATTGGACGACCATTTCATCCAATTGTGGAAATCCTCCTTGACAATATGCATCCACGACCCCACCTCGTGAGATTCGAACCAGGAGGTGGAGTCGTGGATGTGCACTGCTGAAACGTCCTACAAGAGGACAAAACAGCCTTTCAGTGCTTTCAGGTTTATCATGTTGGTTTAGCTTCAATTGACTCATGATCTCAACTATTGAAATTCATATATATAGATAGATACACTTACGCTAATTTATCTATAAATGAACGCATTGAGAAATGAGGTATTCTTTGACATAATTGCTCTTCTAATACTTTTTCAACTGTATCAATCTATAAAATGATATTTGATCATTAAGTCAGATTGAATTGATGATGAAGATGAAGTAAAAAGAAGTAAAGGAATAACAAATTTCATTTACATATTTTTCATGAATTTCTGTATAACAAAATTTATTCTCTTCATTTTCATCAAATTCATTGTAATTTTCATTCATAAATGTATCTTGAATAGTTTGAAAGTGATCACCTTTGTTTGTTTTTAAAGGATTAGAACATGAAAATAGAAAAATGTTGTAAATATATTAATATCAGATGGTTTCTGTGGATATTATAGTAATTTCAATGATTAAGATCATGAGTTAGTTGAAGCTAAACCACTATGGAAAACTTGAAAGCACTGGACGGCCGTTTCGTCCTATAGTGGAACTCCTCAGCATCCACGACCTCGCCCCCTGCGAGGTAGTATAAGTTACTTTGTATGAACTTTTGTGCAATAAATTATGGACTTTACTACTACGTCCCATAAATATGAGCACTGTGATCTATTATGGAAATTTTAGCCTTAATCATTTTTATGATCTTCAAAATAATCCTCATTATTGGATAGATACAAGAGTCTTCTGTGTTTTCACTGTTGAATACATCTCTTTGAGTCCTCAAAGATTGGGCTCTACAATTGTTTCATCGCTTAATGTTTCATTATTTTCACATGATCACTTCTTAAACTGGGACAGAAAGAAATTTCATAGAGGATAATTCAAGTAAAAGATGATCTGATACAAAAATGAAATCGCAGATCAGGAACTATAAACAATCACAGTTCGCGTATTTATTGCACAGATCACGTGATTGTAAGTAGAAAACAATTTTTCTCGATTAGTAGCTAAGTCGAAATAAACCAATAGAGTTAGACTGGCTAGATGTGATGCCCTTGATTATTTGTCGAGTTACGGTATAACTAAGAAAATGATGGTTTCTTAAGACTATGAAGTAACATGAAACGACTTAAAATAGAAAAAAATTGGAATATAGACGATAAAATTATACAAATGTTAGATTATTTATTTTAGAAACGGATAATCAAGTGCACGCTACATAACCTGATCTAATTTCACCAGATTATATACAACCATTACATATCTATTATGAAAGATAAACTAGATACTGGTTTAATACAAATTTGTAAAGTGTTTTATAATTTCTATACGGGTTTAAATTTTCATGGTCTAACATCACAAGCTAATCTTGGTTAGACAACCGGTAAAAACTGGAAACCACTAGACAGCTGTTTCGACCTAATATGGGACTCCTCGATAATGTGCATCCATGACTCGGACACAGGGGATTAAACCTAGGGCTTCCGATTTCACGCCAGCATCCAACAGTGTACAAGTCCAACTTTAATCAGTCTGCAATGTTGAGTGACAATCTTTCAATACCGAAATACAACAAATCTCGCATCCTCTGGTCACAACTTTCACTAGAAGTCGTGAAACTACTTCTCAAAGTTAGTCACTAGTGAGGATAGGATTAATATTAGTGTAAGGACCTAGTGGGTATTGCTAAGTTTTCGTAGTTAGCCTTACAATTGGCCTTAGTTAAATGGACATTGGGAACTAGGACGTACATAACAGCTGTCTTCTAGGGGTTAAGTGCTCACTAAGAGACATGAAAGTCTTGGGTAAGGTCACAGGTAATGAGGTCGTGAGTGTGAATTACAAAAGATTCCCATACTAAGACAAAACAGCTGTTCAGTGCTTCCCGATTTCCAATGGTGATCTAACTAAAATCAGTTCATAGTGTAAACTATGGAGTTTTTCATACTTAAATATAATTACTCTTACTCATCATTATCTCCTCTAAATGTCCAACAACAATATCGAAATCCGACAATGGTTCTTGTGATCTATCCTAATTATGATATCTATAAGGTGAAAAACGAACCCAACAAATGACTCTTCAGGCACATCATCATTTCCGTTGTTTAGTTGTGGATCTGAAGAATAAACAAACAAACAGCACAAAACTTTTTAATAATAATAGCATCACATATTCACTAGTAATGTCTTCATTTAAAATGGGTTCTTAAGCATCTAGTAAAATGTTGTGGTTTATGAGGTTCAGTCATATTAATAGTGAAATATTCATCAGCAGTACCACCGGATAATTGTTGTGTTTCATTATAAACACAGTGGAATTCAAAATATTTACTTGGGATACATTACAACTGATACTTTTAGGTAGGAGTCTTTCGAAATTTATTCTATCATAAATATTATTCTGTTGAATCGTATTTTTGTATTTGCCACACAATGTTAACACGTTTTTCGTCTAATTTAACATTGTATAGCGGTAAATAAATCCCCAAAATAAATAGCTCTGTAAGTTTTCGACATTGAATGCTGACCATATGTTTTAGTGGATTCATCTAGCTGAAGGTGCTCGGTCATGCATCTGTACCGGATCACGTGTGGTAACGCTGTGCTCAACATCTACCGCAATCTCTAGTCAGATTGGACCAGAGAATTCCGATATATTGGTAATCGCCAAATACACTCTTCCGATCTCCTCGACTCTGTCTTTTGATTTCTCTTGATGGGTACGAATTATATTAGGTGTTGCTGGTAAAAGTGTTGTCGAACACTGAATACCTGTGTCATCTTCAACTGCCTGCTACTAACATTCATCATCATTTACCAAGTGGTCAAACGCTTAAAACTATTGAGCGCTGGCATTTAATTTGCCACAAAGAAACAAGAATGAATAAATTATGGGGGTTTTCATTTTGAAAGTTCTATGAATGCCTACACCGTAACATGATAGTTGCTGTGAGCAAGTGAGAGAAACATTTTGATTTCAGGATCATTAAAATATTCACAGAAATGACCAAAACTCGTGTCTCATTATTTTGATAGAAAATTGTAGGGTTGTGATTTGGATTTAGTATGACTATTGTAATATGCTCTAATGAATGTCAATGCTGAATGAGTTTAATATTTTCAAAAACAAAATATATCTTAACTAGTGCCTGAACAAATATTAGGTTTTTTGACTGCAACCAGGTTTGCCGCTCTATCGTAGGCTTTTGAGTATTTTGGTAAGCCCTCAACTACATGAGCATTTTCTGAAAAAAACTATCAACTTTTTTCTCGCTTTTCATCATTCACGCAGAAAGTTTTGACTTTCTGAAATATGTTTTAACTAGCTCAATAGGAAGAAGCCAATATACTTTGAGTTTTGTGTAATATACATAACTCTTCCGCAGGCAGGCTTCTCTACTTTATTATTTTTACATAAGTAAACTGGCAGCCCAAATAAACAAAAACTGTAGTACTGCTTGTCGTCAAACGTAAAACCAACATTAAAGTATTTAAGATAAAGCACTTGAAAGTTCCTATGCACAAATCAAAACTTTTGTGAGGCGAATGCATCTTCTTTACATCTCAATTAAAGTGGTATTTTTCGAATAGAACAGTATAATACCGTTTACTGACCTGAATATGTGAACCTTACCGATAAATAACGTGCCGATGATGATAGAAGCAGATAAAAATCTACGAATTGTATATAAACACTAATGTTAAAAACATGTGGAACTCTTACTAACCGCCTAGCTCCATAGACGCTGAGAAGTTTGTATACGGCGTTAGATTAAAACAAATATATGATGCAATCAAATGATTATATTATATGCTTTGAACCTACTTGTTTCGATAACATGATTCTACAAAATGCGGATTTTAACATGAAGGCTGACAGATTTGAGAAGAATAGTTCAAATCTCCATGATTTATAGTAACATTCAAGGAGTAGTCTGGTTGCAGTGATCTAACATACAACTGAGAGAAATCTTCACCAATTTCCCTAAGTTGCTTGACTTTAGAAGTGCGTCTGGTGTTTTTGCAGTCCCTATCAGATTCAAATGGCTACTGATATCAGCTTCTACTTCTTAATGGATAAAACCGGTGTGAACCACCAAAACAAAATGCAGAATCCGTCTAGCTTTGTCCTGATGTAACTAAAGGTGGATGCACAGCATATTTTAATGTCTCAAACTATTCAAAGTCAGGACGAGTGAGCTATTTGGTTTGATAAATTTTGTCTGCTTCTAATACGTAAAATGCCACTGCGGATATACAAAATAAACAATTAATACAGTCTATGAAACAAGAAAAATTAGACGTAAATAACACGCCGAATAGTAACCAGAGAATAGAAAAAATGAATCAAAACCTAATGCCGTCTGCGATAAACAAAAAAGATGTGGCTAGTTAGTAAACAGCGAAGTTATTGTGATGGTGGGCGTTTTATGTTAACATTGATGTGTTCGTTTACCTATCACACGGTCCAACCTCACCGGATGTTGCGCAAACGAACACCATTACAGTAGCTCTGTTTTAACGACTATTGAATATTTCAGGGCCCTCATGAAAGAACTGCACTTTGGTTGTCTGTTGACTGGATGCTGAAACACTTTCCTCCGTGCTAGGATGTTGGAGAGTTGCTTCCATGTGGTCATTTCAAGTTCACTACCCCATAAACAAGTGTTTAACGTTTGATTTCTCATTCATTTTAGGTCGGCTTCTTACGGATTCTCAGATTTTCAAGTAGCACTAGAAAATTTCTCTCTCAAATCATACTGAATAAGCAGCTACCTTTAGCATCAATGAATAAAACTTTTAACCGTATCACACTAGTTATCTCAGTCAACAAAGTGCAAACTTGTTTGATTATGCACAAAAAATGCGTTTTGAATAGACGTTACATAATTAGGCTGGATACAGGACTTTGTCAGCTGTATCAATTTACCAATTTTATGAAAATTAAGTACAAAGTCAAAGCACAGAAAAATTGCAGCTTTGCGAGAAATTTTTTCAATGAAAAACTGTGGATAAGATCTGAAAAATTTAACTGTGACGAATCACTCAGGTCAATGGCCTTCGTTTATTTGTTGAAATTACAATCTGGTTAAGCATGCAGGTGAATTTGAGATACAAATGAGGAGGTAAATCAGTTTATGTACCCCATACACAGGTACAGTTTGGCAGTTTTCATTGTTTATTCAGTTGGCTAATAATGCACAATTCCACTGAAACAATGAATTTCAATACTACTACAATTCTATTCATATGTGCAAAATTAAGGTTTAGTATCTGTATTCATCTGCTTTACTTTAGCATCTGGATTTATCGAATGACTAGTATTCATCATGTATAACTTTTCTATACAGGCTTTATTGTGCACCCCCTCGCTGGTTTTAGCCAGCTCCTGAAAAACGATTATATGGTATTTGTACGAACTAATAATTCCCTTGTATTTGAACGCGTGCTGATTACGAAATCCAAATACAATAGGTCTATTTGCGTTCATAGGTTTCTACTTGCAGTAAATTGCACTATTTCGGAATTCTTAGTTAGTACATTCACATAATGCTCATAGGGACAAACAGGAAGAAGCTGACGCGTTTCAAACTGAAAGTATTAACTGTTTATAAATGAACTTGAAGAGTTTACCGAATAAAATGAATGAGTTACGTGAAATTAGCAATAATAATAATGCTCATGTGATAAGAATGTCTGAAACATGGAAATCTTCTCAATTTACAAACCAGAAGCTAGCGATAGCCGGAACGTCCTCGTTTCGCAGTGACACAAAAATAGGAATGGGAGGTGAAGTAGCCTTGTACTTGCGATCTTGCCTGGAAACACATCAAGTACACAATCAAGAGTATATCAATCATGATAAATCCATATGGTACTCAGTAAGATTGTCTATCACCTCTTGATGTCTAGTTGGAGCTACCCACACGAAGATCATCGCTGATATGGAATACGAAATTCGTATGTTGAAAGGATTAACCCACTCTACTATTCTCAGGTTCATTCGTATCATGATTTTTGGGTGATCTTATCCGCAACGCAACCATGTAAACTTAATGTACCGGTCATCTGTGCGTTCAAGTAACCACAGATTTTGTCACTTCATAATGTATTTTTAATTAAATAACTAGATTATATAGCTAATTTTGATCTTTTTTTATATTTTTATTCGCCACGTTCGACTGCGTTACACTGCACGTCCATTGCATGCTGGGATGATATCTCAAGTCATAGTGAGTTTATTCACATAGTTGACTGTTTCCAGATAGACTGTCAGTGCATAATTTAACTGTAGAAAGGTTTATTGTACTATAAACTATGTTTTTATGAACAACTGCCTGTTGTTTTCAGTCGGGAAGCAATATATATATTCTTTGTCTTCTGTTCGGTAAGTTCAATTGGTCTATATTTCGTGTTTTTATTTTATCGTCTTCATTATGTCCATTTAACTACTTTAAGCAATATGCCTGTGCAAATGAGACAATAACTATGACACTTGCTTAGTTTAGTATTCTTGGTTGTCGTATAATTCAGTTTAGTTGAAAGAAATATGGTATACTTAAGTATAGTGCTTGAAGTCTGTAACGAAACAGATCAGTCTAGTAAGTAGAGTTGCCTGTTTCTGATAAGTATACTGATTCAAATCAGTCTGATTAAAAATAGGAAAAAAGTGATTTTGGTACTGTTGCTGTCATACATTATAAGATAGCGATAAGTTTGTTTGGTGTTTATTTCTAGATTGTACATCCATCACTGACCATATTTCATGATCACTGTCATTAAACAATTTCCCCAGCAATAACATCGGTAGCAGGATAGCTAAGTGTGTGAGCTTTTATTTGCCCGCAGAAGAGCAGTATACATTCTTAGAAGATGAGTGTTCTGTATCTCAATTAAATGCAGTTGGTTGTGGACAAATGTTAAGAATCTTTTTGACAACTGGGACTTTTAGTTCATCAAACACTAACTCTGTGAGAGAGAGTTAGTGTTTGATGACCGACCGAAGCTGCTACCTTGACGTGGTGGTCGGGCTTGCCTATCGTGATGACCCATCCGAGCTATATTGGCTGGAACATATGTTCCTGTAGGTTCTACCATGCCAGGCAGGTCGATTGGTGAACGGTAAGACTAAAAGCAGCAACTCAAAGTCTGAGGGCGAAGTCGTACTGCTGACTGTACAGAGGTGTGACAGCAGTAAGGTGTTTCCTTCGGACAATCAGCATGACAGCGATGCTGCCTTCCCACAAGGAGGGGTGGGGTTAGAAAAGGTCGACCCTAAAAATGTCACACCTCACCTTACCTCACGGATTTCCGTCTCCGGCGGTAAGGCCATCTGAAGAACGGAGCTAACACGTCAAAAACCTTCTACAAAAAGGCCGTGCGCGACCGGCCTCAAGCAGTTGTCCCTTGGGCTCTGCGGTCACGCTCCCAGGTCGTTAAGACCAACACTAATCCAATTTCCTTTTCAGGTTCCTCAAGAAATACCCTTCCACGGTGTGGGCAGCCGGGAAGTGACATCAGCCCTCATACCCGTAACAGCACGCGAGACCAAGTTGGTCACATTCAAATCCTTCCTACACCTTCTAATACCTCTCTTATCTCCATGACTAACCCTCCTCACGTCTCTTTATCACCTCGCACCGCTAGGGCAAACGATTCGAGTACGTGGAACTCTATTCCTGGTCTCCTCAAACCACGCTCTAAACTACACGTAGGAGCTTTTAACGTCCGAACACTGTGCCAAATAGGACAGCAGGCTTCCTTAGCTAGGACTTTAGAATCTCGCGCCATTGATGTGTGTTGCGTCTCCGAAACGCGCATACAGGATCCAAGTAGCATCATTCATTTGACCTCACCATGCCAAAATAAAGAACCGACTCGATTTACGCTTCGTGTATCTGGAAGCCCTGATTCTGCTTCCCGTGGCCTCGCCGGCGTAGGTATAGCATTGAGTCCTAGGGCAGAACTAGCTCTCTTAGAGTGGATCCCAGTAGACAGTCGTTTGTGCGCTGTCCGACTGAACGGAACAGTAAGAATCCGGAAAGATAGGGACACTCGTCGTTGCCTCTTCGTCGTCTCTGCCTATTCTCCCACTGACTGCAGCTCAGATGATGTAAAAGATGAGTTTTACAGAAAGCTTTCGGACCTTCTCCGAAAAGCTAAGCGCTCGGATGTAGTAATAGTGGCCGGTGACTTTAATGCTCAAGTAGGTAAACTAAGCGATAGAGAAAGACACCTGGGTGGATCTTATAGTATAGTGGCTCAAAGAACAGATAATGGCGACCGTCTGTTGCAGCTATGCTCAGATAATCGCCTGTTCCTTGCAAATACTAACTTTAAGCATAAGGAAAAACATCTTTTAACATGGCGACCCCCTAATTCGTCCCAACGTTGGACCCAAATAGATCACATCGCTATCAGCCACCGATGGAGGGGCTCGATAGAAGACTGTCGCTCATTCTGGAGCACATGCCTAGATTCAGATCATGCTCTAGTACGAGCGCGTATTTGCTTGCGTCTTACTGGACGTAGGAAAACCGCTGCAAGGAAACCTCTTAGGGGCCTACTTAATGATAGTCAAGCTAAGAGTATATTTCAGGAACAACTAGAAAAACAGTTAGGCAGCCATGTATGTGATGCCCACCCCGAGGCAGCATGGAATGATATCCGAAAAGCTGTGGAAACAGCAGTGATATCTGTTAGTAAGGTAAACCAGAAGGTTAGGGAGCAACACTGGATCTCAGCAG